CAGGACATGTACCAACATGTACATTGTATACAGGACATGTACCAACATGTACATTGTATACAGGACATGTACCAACATGTACATTGTATACAGGACATGTACCAACATGTACATTGTATACAGGACATGTACCAACATGTACATTGTATACAGGACATGTACCAACATGTACATTGTATACAGGACATGTACCAACATGTACATTGTATACAGGACATGTACCAACATGTACATTGTATACAGGACATGTACCAACATGTACATTGTATACAGGACATGTACCAACATGTACATTGTATACAGGACATGTACCAACATGTACATTGTATACAGGACATGTACCAACATGTACATTGTATACAGGACATGTACCAACATGTACATTGTATACAGGACATGTACCAACATGTACATTGTATACAGGACATGTACCAACATGTACATTGTATACAGGACATGTACCAACATGTACATTGTATACAGGACATGTACCAACATGTACATTGTATACAGGACATGTACCAACATGTACATTGTATACAGGACATGTACCAACATGTACATTGTATACAGGACATGTACCAACATGTACATTGTATACAGGACATGTACCAACATGTACATTGTATACAGGACATGTACCAACATGTACATTGTATACAGGACATGTACCAACATGTACATTGTATACAGGACATGTACCAACATGTACATTGTATACAGGACATGTACCAACATGTACATTGTATACAGGACATGTACCAACATGTACATTGTATACAGGACATGTACCAACATGTACATTGTATACAGGACATGTACCAACATGTACATTGTATACAGGACATGTACCAACATGTACATTGTATACAGGACATGTACCAACATGTACATTGTATACAGGACATGTACCAACATGTACATTGTATACAGGACATGTACCAACATGTACATTGTATACAGGACATGTACCAACATGTACATTGTATACAGGACATGTACCAACATGTACATTGTATACAGGACATGTACCAACATGTACATTGTATACAGGACATGTACCAACATGTACATTGTATACAGGACATGTACCAACATGTACATTGTATACAGGACATGTACCAACATGTACATTGTATACAGGACATGTACCAACATGTACATTGTATACAGGACATGTACCAACATGTACATTGTATACAGGACATGTACCAACATGTACATTGTATACAGGACATGTACCAACATGTACATTGTATACAGGACATGTACCAACATGTACATTGTATACAGGACATGTACCAACATGTACATTGTATACAGGACATGTACCAACATGTACATTGTATACAGGACATGTACCAACATGTACATTGTATACAGGACATGTACCAACATGTACATTGTATACAGGACATGTACCAACATGTACATTGTATACAGGACATGTACCAACATGTACATTGTATACAGGACATGTACCAACATGTACATTGTATACAGGACATGTACCAACATGTACATTGTATACAGGACATGTACCAACATGTACATTGTATACAGGACATGTACCAACATGTACATTGTATACAGGACATGTACCAACATGTACATTGTATACAGGACATGTACCAACATGTACATTGTATACAGGACATGTACCAACATGTACATTGTATACAGGACATGTACCAACATGTACATTGTATACAGGACATGTACCAACATGTACATTGTATACAGGACATGTACCAACATGTACATTGTATACAGGACATGTACCAACATGTACATTGTATACAGGACATGTACCAACATGTACATTGTATACAGGACATGTACCAACATGTACATTGTATACAGGACATGTACCAACATGTACATTGTATACAGGACATGTACCAACATGTACATTGTATACAGGACATGTACCAACATGTACATTGTATACAGGACATGTACCAACATGTACATTGTATACAGGACATGTACCAACATGTACATTGTATACAGGACATGTACCAACATGTACATTGTATACAGGACATGTACCAACATGTACATTGTATACAGGACATGTACCAACATGTACATTGTATACAGGACATGTACCAACATGTACATTGTATACAGGACATGTACCAACATGTACATTGTATACAGGACATGTACCAACATGTACATTGTATACAGGACATGTACCAACATGTACATTGTATACAGGACATGTACCAACATGTACATTGTATACAGGACATGTACCAACATGTACATTGTATACAGGACATGTACCAACATGTACATTGTATACAGGACATGTACCAACATGTACATTGTATACAGGACATGTACCAACATGTACATTGTATACAGGACATGTACCAACATGTACATTGTATACAGGACATGTACCAACATGTACATTGTATACAGGACATGTACCAACATGTACATTGTATACAGGACATGTACCAACATGTACATTGTATACAGGACATGTACCAACATGTACATTGTATACAGGACATGTACCAACATGTACATTGTATACAGGACATGTACCAACATGTACATTGTATACAGGACATGTACCAACATGTACATTGTATACAGGACATGTACCAACATGTACATTGTATACAGGACATGTACCAACATGTACATTGTATACAGGACATGTACCAACATGTACATTGTATACAGGACATGTACCAACATGTACATTGTATACAGGACATGTACCAACATGTACATTGTATACAGGACATGTACCAACATGTACATTGTATACAGGACATGTACCAACATGTACATTGTATACAGGACATGTACCAACATGTACATTGTATACAGGACATGTACCAACATGTACATTGTATACAGGACATGTACCGACATGTACATTGTATACAGGACATGTACCAACATGTACATTGTATACGAAGGAACCTTTTCAAATAAGTTCAACTTCACACAATTAGTCTAGATACAATTTCACGAATTTATGGACCACAATTTCAATATCCATGAAACAAATATGTCACATATACATTAAAAAAGTTCTTTTTTTCTGCCATTATAAAGTCGCTAATGTTGTTATCTTGTTGTTGTTACTTGATCTATTGTCTTATGAATGTGATGCTGCAATGCCATAACGTCATTTGTCCATTGTTTTAATTCTGATTTCGCAATCTGTGATATTACACAATCTCTATAGGCCAAAAAATGTGACACTGATGTCGTTGTCCATACATAAGTTGCACTACAGTAACTTGTTTCTGGTTCAGTATTTTACCTATATGCTTGGGGCATCTTTCTGGTTCTGTTTTTAATCACAATCAACAGATTATTTTTATCAACAATCAGGGATGGGAGACAACAGCTGAACAAATTGAGCAAGCTTAAAGGATCATGCATGTTTGAAAAATTAACAGAGCATGGCACCCTGCTATTCCTTGCTTGCTGGAACACTGATTTTATCACATAATGTTCAATAAGATCAATATATTTCTTTGACTTTTGTGTTTTTTATTCCCCCCCCATAAAGTATTTATGTATCCATAGACATACAAGGAAGACATAAATAATGTAAAAATAACAACGATTAAACCTCATGTGTCACAGCAGGGTTTACTGTCACTATTTATCATTATCACACATACTGATGGTATATCTTTTATTCCTCTTGTCACTTTTCAGTTTCTTTTGATATTGAAAAGAAAAATATATATCAAATGTAGAAGTCATATACTCCTTATATAAACTGTATGCTCTTTTTTAATTAATATAATAAAAATAATTATATAAGTCATATGCATATATACTTAAGATTTCCTCATTTTTTCATAATTTCCTCAACTTTACTTGTACATTTTATAAGAAAATAATCTCATCAGGCAATCTAAATCTGACTTTAAATGCGATTTTAACGGGATATATATATTTATATATACATTTGCGTCAATGCCAAATATACCTTAAATGTCCCCATTGCTTAATATGATGCATAATTAGTGAGTCAGGTAACTTATTTATAATTGACATGCCAAATTTACATAATTACATATGAAATATAATGTTATGGTTTTCTGTTTTAATTACGATTATTACTTTCTGTATTAGCAAGAAAGTAACAAGTTCAATAATGTTGCATGCTTAACACATTTCATTGCTTCTTGTAATTTTGAATGTGTGAGTCCACTGTTCCAGCTGTTTTCTTTATTGGATTTTCTGATGGGCATGTAATAACGGTATTTAGATTGAAATAATAAACATGTATGTACAAGGAAGTAATCAGTCTTTGTAATGAAGGGCACTAAGAACGATTACAGTCCTTCTCCCCTTTTATATTTCAAACATTTAGTTCCCCAGACAGATGAGTGGACGTTACACGATTTACTGGTACAGTGCGTGTACCAATATATATACATATATAATGTAGTTTGAAGGGGGGGGATTGATAAATGGTGCAGATATCAGATTTTTTCTTCATCTCATTCACCAGTAACAAGTAAAACCCAAAAACAATGTACTAATTATAAATATACAGGTAAAATCTCTTCATTAATTCATGCATATATCTGTCATTTATTGAACAGCTTAATTACTGAGTTTTACTTCCTGCAATTATATTTTTTCTTATTAGTTACAAGCAATGGAGAGATATCAATTTTGACCATTGTAAAACCTGCCACAGTCAATGTTTAATAAATTGGCCGAGTTTCCTCTGGCCCTGACACCAGACTTGGACATTTTGACAGATAGATGTCTGGTGTCAGGGCCAGAGGAAACTTTGGCTACAGTCAACTGTACATATGCCTGTACTGTGGTTGACAGTGCTGTGCAGTACCACTATAAGTAATACATAATGAGTATTTATAAACCATGATTTCATTATGATGTTTAACTTATTCAATAAAACCATATTGCCTAAGTTAGGTGTACATGTAGGTAATCAGCCTGACCACAGCTTTGAGGACATGTACTAAATTCAGATTTACCTCATTGTTTTTTTTGGCTGAATCAGGATTTACTGGCATGCCATTGCCTGCATCCACAAACTCCTCCGTGAGACTTCTCTTGTTGCCCCCTAACAGATGTTTGATCAGCATGGGTCCGGCCAACACAAACACAACCGCCACCACCAACAGTTTGAGGAGGGTGACAGAGTTCCGCCTCATGTTAGGTTCAACAGGCTATTCTAAGCTTGACCCTGAAAGTACATGACAGTAAAGTTATAGTTTATTCTTTTATTCTTGCAATGTTTAATGATTTTTATAATTGGAATGTCTCCTTTCTTAAAGAGTTCATTACATGATTGAGAAATTCAAATTTACAGTTGTCCCTCGTGAAAGGTAATATGATGACACATTTGAAGAGTACAAATTTGCATTATATGGTACAAATGTACATGTATATATATAATAATTCTAAATTATATGATTGCACCATCAAAGTAAAGAATTTGAAGAAAACACAAACTCTTCAAACTTTTCATCCAACGGTAATTATAACCTCCTCCTCTTGTTTGTAGATTATACAATTGTATTACTGTATAACTGTGTAGTAGGATTGGACCAGAGACTGAACTATAACTGACCTGTCTGTTCAGTTTAAATAAGAACAACTGCATTGTAAAGGTCATGGGTTTGAATCCCAGTCTGGTACTATACTGTATATATATAATCTTACATGAGTTTCCATTTCATATGAGATTTATGAAACGAGTCGAAGAATTTTTCATAAAATGGAAAATTCGTGACGAGTTTCATAAATTTCATATGAAATGAAAACGAGTGTATGATCCTTTTTATCACATCAAGATTTGTGGCATTTACTCGTGTAAAACGACAATTTTCATGCAACCTTAAAATGTAATCAAAGTACTGAAAGTACTGAAAGCTAAGGCAAAAGATATATATATATTATTTTTGGAATAGAGAACAAAATAAAGACGAAGTTCCCATCATATTGTACAGAAGGATTTACTGTTAATTTGTTATGAATCAAAGTTTTATGTAAAAGTGTACCACTGTGAAGTTATTCTTCTTGTGTGTACAGTATATCTTTATAGGTTTGTCAGAAGAGGGGTACCAAGTTTCCTCTAGAATATATCATTTTAAACCTTTGGATAATTAATTTGCATAGGAATTAGGAATTGCTTCCCTTTGTCCATACAATGTATTTCATAGAACATTAAAAACTGAAACTGGCATTTACCCCTTTGACCAATACCTGATTATTTTAAACCATTGAATAGATTATGCACAGATTGTGAACATCTTTGAACTTTGCCTTTGTTGTTGAATAAGATATCAACCCTTGCCTTATCTAACAAAGTTACTTGGCATAAAACCATTGACCAATCAGAGTACAGTATGCTAATTAATTAGGCATGGATTTCACTCAACTTTGAACTTATCGTCTAAGTTTGTATATTGATCAATATATATTCAAGCAAGTTATCTTGTAAAGTGTGCACATCGACCAGGGTTGGCATGCTTTTTAATACGTGTGAATTTTGTTCAAGTTTCAATTTTGCATCAGTCAGTGTATATTGTTACAGAACAATATTTATAAGGATGTTTACTTGCCGAAACTAAATTGTGGATAAGCAAGTGGATTACTGCTACCCATAAATTTACAAGTCTCTCAATAATTTTGAAAAACTTTTAAATAAAGTGTTTTACATATTCACTGCAGTGAAAAGGTCTCTTCTTATGAAAAATGGAACTATTTTGAATCTGTGTTCCCATGAACAAATAATATAAAAAGCACTCTAATTCAATATGATACATTGTTGTATGTTTCAATATTGAATAAGATAAACAAAATATAAACATACATACTCACACACACACACAAGATTAGGAGAGTTACATTATTTTCCCTCTATTTCCATTGCATAAATTCTTCACAAAGAAAACAACAACTTTATAGCATATGTTCAGCTTTATCATCTTCATAGGCTAGCATTTGAAATAAGATGCACATATTAATTTCAAATACATTTCAAAAGAGTACTGCAAATGTACCAGCTAGAACACATACTATGTTATTACAGTTGTCATGATTGTTGGTTTCAGAACTGATAGCATTGTGCAACAAATGTTGACAACAGGACTTATTGAAAGTTGAGGTTGCTTGTGTATATGCAAACAGGTAGTGCATGATTTAATGTTGAGAATGATGGATCAAGGTTTATAAAATTTGGTTTGAATACTTAGTTAGGAATGCACTGACAATTTCTCTGTCACATGTACATGAACAGGTTGTGAAGCTGTAGCCTTCACCTTGACTGAATGAAATTGACCTTAAAACTGTCTTGAACAATTGATGTATGAAATTTAGAAATGAAGTTTCAAGAAATATGGTTGAAAACTTAAGAAATAATTGCTTTCATTGACATTGATACAATCTTGTGTGCAATCCCTCTCATATATCACACAAGATTTAATATCAAATGTTGGACACGGTAAAATCATGCGAAATTACCAAATATCAAGTTATATATTATAACTTTTATTTGATTTTATTGATATTGATCATAAGCATTGTTAAAAGTACAATGTATACCAGGGATCTTACATTTCTTTTACTGCTTAATATTTGGGTTGAGTTTTAATTCATTGGACAAAAACTAAAAGCAAGCCATGACCAGTATTTCTATCTTTAAAAAAATACTTTTAATGTTTTTCCAATTTGCTCCCACCACCCATAGTGTTATATTGATCAAAACAAACGTTGTTTCCAACATTTGTGCCCTTAGTCAGTAGGGGGTGTTCAATCACATTCACCAGGGTTTCAGCATCAAGTAGGGGCTGTTCAATCACATTCATCAGGCATCAATATTCACAGATTCAATCTGTTCCAAGTAAAGATCACTGACTTCTCCATTAAGGAAAAGTTTGCGAGGAAAGCATTTGAACTACATTTGAACTATTCGCTGATGGAAGGATCTGTGGACTCGGCTTTCATGTGTCTGAGAGAAAATGATTTAGTCAGAGGTTCCTCCTCTATAAAGTAACTGACAGACTTCAAAATGTTATGTCACTGTTGGTATAGTTCTTGCAGCCTTTTGAAAAAGTTCATGAAGTCCTCAAAGGTATGAGAGAGTTGGTACAGTTCCTATTTCTCATCCTCCTTTCTCCCATCAATAACCATCCCTGTCTGTTGTAATATTGATTGCTTTTCCCCCCTAAAATAGAACATAGTTACCATATAATTTCTGCACCAGCAACAATGTTTAGAGATGATATTCAAGCAAATAGGAGGCATAGCAATATGAGCTTGTATAGTGAGAAATAAGGCATTAAAGCTGAGGAGTTCATTAAAATGTTTCACAAACATTTCAATAAGTCAACCTCTTTGGTAGCAGAACTAAATGTAAACAAAATATACATAAAATTCAACTTATAACACCACATCTCATGGGGGCTTAAGACATCTAATTCCTTAGGTGGTAAAACATGTGTACATAAAAAAGGTACCAGTAAAAACAAAACAAAATTAGTTTAAACACACGCACTTAGATATTCACGGTTTTCATTAATACAAAAGATGAAGCAGAACATCACTCTCCCCTGGTTGTTTCCAGAAAGAAGAAATTAACCAGGAAATATGGAGATGTCCATTGTACTCCTTTATTTTGCTTACAGTGTGCAAATGTGCCTACTATGTGCTAATAAGCTTTCCATGTTATGGTTTTGTTTTTTATGTGCTGTATGCAAATGTTCTAAATGTGCTTAAATTACCATGTGCTCATGTTCTTACCGTGTGTAATGTGCCTATTAAGTGCTTTCCAAGTGATAAACTTTTTTTCTGTGCTTACAGTATATAGTACATGTACATACATGTTTTTATTTTTATTTTTCCATGTTGTAATATTTTGGTCTCTGTTATTATACTCATGTTTTGTCTTAATACAAGCTCTTTGTAGCTTATGTTGTATGTTTTGCAAAATGGACGTAAAATATATATTTTTGTATCTTGTAAGTGCTCAAGGATTTTATCTGTAGTTTTTGGGACTATATATAGAAAAACTTGACCCCAGTATGAGGAATTGTTTTACACATTTTGTCATAAAACAAGTTATGTTCAGATTTCAGACAGAAGATACTCTAAAACTGTACAACTCAGAAAAGGTCGAAAAATATTTATATTTCCTTTTTTCCTGCTTAGAAATATTTAATCTCTAAATTACAAATGATAACTGTTTTAACAGGTCTAGTTTCCGAATTAGAAACCGAACCCTGTCTGACCTATTAATGATCATTAAACAAGGTCAATTAAAAGTTTAAAACAAATATTGTGTTTATGCTAACCCCACAGATACTGGAAACACTAATAGTAATATGATGTGTATAAACTATGATATATTATACACACTATATCTATTGGTGTGTTCGACACCAGTGTGGTTAACCAGACTTATCTCAGATTTGTGTTCCTACAATACCCTGAAGTTTTTATATGCACTGTTAAAGTCAGAACTCCTGCTCTATATTAGCGCAGTAAAGATATTTTTCAAATTAACAATAAAATGCCTAGCTAATACATACCTACCCTATTTTTTTCTGATAATAGAAACACAAGTAATTTGTTTGGCCTAATATATATGTTTCTGTCGTTTCATAATATTTAGAACTACTATACTTTTTTAAGTTTCCAAAACATCAAGTAGTATAACAATTGAAACTTCAATGACAGCCAACATCACAATGAATCTAATAATACAATGTTTATAACATGTTTTTTTTTTAACTGAATGAGAAGAAATGTAAGGCCAAATATCCTCACAAACAACGCTGAAGTGAAATCAGTTTGCAACTTAGCAGTTCGAAAATTTTGCAACACGTCTGGAGAAAGACGTTCCTTGTGACGCTGTAATTCACTAGAGTAAAAACTCCATTTATTTTGTTTGTTTTTGCATAATTACTGCTATACATACCGTAGAAGCACCTTCCTTTTTGTCATCGCCGCTGACAACATGCGCCATTCTCTGCGGCTTCGGCCGCATGCTTGGCCACAAGTCACCGAAATCGGGATACAGAGCCTTATTTATGAATCAGTAGTAGGTAAACGTTGCAGAAGTGTATGTATATTGTTCATTGGCAATGCTGCTTAAACAACATGCCTAACATTAAGTCAACACGCCTGCATTTTCGTCTTTTCCGCTTCGCGTTGCGAATGATGTCTAGGCCTAAACAAAACGAAAGTAAAATGTGCGCATGTCTAAATGTAAGGGAGATCACTCGTGTTCTCCCGTAGTATATGTCTGAAATCATTCCGAAGGTGGTGTTGTTTTTGTGTATATTGAAATAAAAGAGTCCTGTTATATGGTAATACTTCAATAAACGAAATACACAAATCACACCGACAGACATATAAAATGTAGGCCTATCGGCGCATACTTTTCGTTTCTGGCTGAGCTGTAATTAGCGAGAAGGCGATACAAAAATGCAATAGCATATCTTATGATGAAAATAGAACAATATGATAATACTGCGTAGGTAAAATAAAGCCTTCAGGTTAGAATACCAATATGGAACTAGAGAAGGACAGTGGCTAGTACTAATATGATTCCCGGTCTCATCTGCCCGGCCGGGCGATCCCATTTTAGTAAGCAAGCCTGGTGTGAATCACACGGAGGCGATTTTGGAATTAATTGACAGGATCCGTATCCATTAAAAGGTTTGTAATATGAACTTTCTTTGTTGATCTCCTACATAATTGTAAGTTATACTCTGCCTTATATGTCGTTAAATTATCAAGTTTACGTAACAAGTGCAAGCGAAATCTTAATTGACTGCCATGTTGGAAACTTCGTCCATCTTTCCGATATAGGTCAGACGTCTAAATATGGGTGTCATGACCAAATATGGAAATTGTAGTAAACATGACCGCATCGGTAGTAATACTATATTTGGCCGTGAAGGCCATATAGGGAAACGGATAACATCACACGTGATCTAACATGGCCGTCGTTTCTGTTTTTAGAGTTTTTAGTAAAGATTTGTTATTTCAACGATGAACGAATATGCAATATTTTGATAACATTATAATCATATGAAGCGTGAATCATATATATTATTACTGATAAGCACTTTTGATTTTCCTCAGTTAGTTGGAACAGGACTGCTTCATAGCTCTGACCACGCAATATATAAATGTAAACAGGGACGTAAATGTCACCAATTTTAGCCAATCACAGGACAATATTTCCGTGTAAAGGGTTAATCCAGCGACAGTTCCAAGAGTAAATACGAAGTTTTAGAAGGATACTTAGTTCTAACTAAGAATAAGATTATATCTAATGACGTGTGAGTGAATTTGAGTCCGTGGTAATGGATTTTATTTGCAGTTTGTTTAGTATTACTGGTAGGTGACGTTATGTCTCGTTTATGAATATCTGAGCTCATTAACTGAAGTATTTTTACCGGAAGTTGCGTGTAGCATGCATGACCTACAGTCAAGTAGCAGTTCCCGATTGAGATAAACAGGGTGCATTTTCAATAAGAATACGAGGTTGTGATAAGATCATATGTTCTACAAAGGAAAGGAATGATATTTACAAGCCATTCAAGTGCATTTGAGTCCAAAGTTACGCATAATAAAGACAGTAGGTCCGGTATATGATTCAATTTAGTACCAGTGGGTACCGCTAGAGGCCGTCTGTGTGAAATCGACATTTATGAATATCTTGAGCTCATTAACTAAAGTAATACCAATAGCTGGCGGCTCACGCCTTAGCTAAAAATCTGCCATTTTGACTCCAGTGCATAAGTCTGTGACGTCATGTACTTGTCCTAGGCGTGACGTCACAATTAAAACAATTGAAACTTAAAACCAATGCACAGGGCTGATAGGTCATATAACATAGGTTAATACGCCAAAAAATATATTCACTTGATAACACAATACACCATGTGACAAATATAGCTTTCATAAAAGTTCCGCAAGGTAATGGTTTCTTTACAGAAATGATTTATTAAAGCTATTGCCATGCTATTGAAAACACTTTCCAATTCATATAGGCACTATTTTTGGCAGAGTTATGAGCTTCCTTATAATTAACACATGCAGTGGTTGCCGACTCTAATAGGTATATCTCTCCAACTGCTGTTATTTAGAGTACATGTATGTATACTGTACACATAAATGTTATGCAGTCAATTGATATTTTCAATGATAACTTTCAAGAGAATAACCTTATCTATGAAATCATTTATCTTAAACCCTGTTTAAGGGCTAGATCTGACATAATCATTATTTTTAAAACAACTTTTAAGATGTACATATAATCAATAGGGGGATCATGATCAAGTTTTGCTTTCATATCTTGGCTAAATCATTTTTACATACGCATCCTATTCATGATATTTAATAAATGGAATATGACATTAAATATACATGATCTGTAAACATTATACAGCATCTCAAAATGTCATACCATAATTAAAACTTATTATGAATATGAATGCTTTCCATTGATTTCTTTTAGGGATAATCCTGCCTGATCATTTAATTGGGACGTGTTGAATTTGGTGGAAAACATTTAACTTTTTAGTTTTATGATGAACAAATTTCTTCAAACAAAAATAGCATATGCTAATTAATAGGGACATATTTAACCCATTACAATAAAACTCACATTAACATCCAGTATATGTAAACTAAACTAACTGAATCAATTAATTAAATTTAGCGTATCTACATAAACTATATAGTTAATTTGACAGACAGTGGTGCACTTCTGTATGGAATATGTCATATATATATCGATTCTATTTATATTAAGTGTACTGTTGCAGTTTTTGTGTGAGAATACAATTTTGATCAGACATTTAAACTTGTACAGATATCAAATGTAATAGTTGATCCATGTCACCGTAACCCTTTCACCACTGTAGACCATATACTTGACTTATCCAGATGAATGCATGGTAGAGTCTACTTAAGTTACCTAGGGGTGAAAGGGTTAATTCCGCTCAATTCATTATAAACTGGGATGATGAATCAAATGAAAACACCTTTGAGGATAAAATAGAGATATTCAATTGTCATTTTATACACAGACTTATAAGGATTGGCAACCATTTGGCTACTGAGCTTCTATATGGAAGCTGGCATGGGATTCACAAAAGTTTTAAAATGCACCTTTCCGGTGGAAAAAAAGCTTACACAGTGATCACATGACATTACTTTTCCAACATAGAATTAAACATGCTAGGAGTGAGCGAATTCCGGCCACAATAACCACAGTCAGTTATAGGTGTATGTGTTGTTGAACAGAACATCACGTAAATATACACAGGTACAATTAATAATGAAAGACAAACAGCCTCTGCACTCAACAACTCATCATGCATTGTCATCAATGCACTGACAGAAAAAAAACTAACAAAAAACAATAACGAGGAGTGCCAACAATCACGGATCGCTTTAGTCATAATTCTTTTCTGATATCAAAGGTAGCGAAGACACTCTAAGTTACACGCTAACAATTCCTCTCTGTCACTCATCAGTGTTACCCTAAGGTAAAATCTTCAACTCATTCCGACGTCTGCTTACCTGAGATCGAAAACATTCCTAAAATACAAGCATTAACATGCGTCATAGAAGCATCACATATATAGCTCCAGCGTAGATGATTAAACTGAACGTGCCCAGACACTCATAATTACCCGTTCTCTCGCAGATACGCTGTAATCGTGAGAGGTTTATCTGCTATCACTTCCACGTCTTCACAGGGCTGCCATTTTTAACATGACCTCGAGGTCAACCTCGTTTTGAGTACGAGGGAGAAATCATTATTTGGTATTTACGCATGTCACACACTTAAAGGGACCCGAAATAAAATAAAAAAATAAGTAAGAAAGTCATAAACAAAAGTAGCATAACATCATTCCGAAATGCACAGAGGTACAATCTAGATAAAACTTTACTTGCTTAACGAGTCTCGCCGATTAAATTAACTTGAGAGGCTATGTTAATTAATCATACGAAGCATTAATTAAGAAGACGTTTTAGTTTTTTTCCTCAATTAACACTTGACAAGTATACCATTAATATTTCTTTTTTTTTTCAATATTCAGTAGAATTCAAAAACTCCGTGCTTCTCATCGGTAGAGTTCTAGGTGTTTTTTGTTTGTTTTTGTTTTTTGTTTTTTAATTACTCTTCATGAGAACGTGCAGATAAATGTTTATGATCATCCGTGACTTTCCCAATATCTCGTTACTAGATCAATTGGATGCTTATCGAGACCTAAGATTACCCTATGCAAGTGGCACATGCCTCTGGCGAAACCCCGGTGCAGACACGGAATGATTCCGGTTCTGTAAATATTAAAGGACGCCTTTAAGACAACCGTAGCAGATCTAGATATCCACGATATTAAACACATGTGTCAGGTGTTCGTTCTTGGTGCGGAAATGGTTTTGTGGGCCTATATGATTCAAAGATGATGTTGAATATATTTAATTTTTAATAGAGTAACTCCAAATAGCACACTGCGGCATGACAACCCGATCAGTACCCATACGTACCTGATAAAATGAGCACAACATTTTACTACAATATTATAAACTGAGATTTTAACAACTGTTGACGTATATACATATTTGACATGTTTATGTACATGCGTGGCAAAGAAGTATTCGTGTCCTCTTTTTTACCTCTTTTACTTTTTGGCAATGTGTCTGGGCAGGCGATGATCACCCGCGGGAGTCCTAGCTTGCATATTGGCCCATCACCAAGTGTCTGAAACATGTTCATTACCAAATACTGACTTACAATATCCTTGTAGGGTATTGACCATTATTTTTACCTCAGTTTAGGTTTCAATTCATAGTAGGGGCCATCATGGTTACACTCACGTACGTTCTCTGCTCAAAAACCCTAACCTCTGGAAATAAAAAAAAAAGAACGATTTATTTGTTGAGTCCTAAATCTTAGACGTTTTTTAATGGGTTGATTCATAGTAAGGACACATTTAATAAAAAGTCGAAACTTGAAATCGGTGATGATAGCGCTGGTGAATATAATATACATTAATTAGCTGACAGAACACGACAACAATCGCCGATAAAAAAAGTATATGAGGTACATTGTTTTTTTGTATTGTACGAAAGCTTTCAGTACAGAAACGTTCCAGTAGTTTCAGTCAGTTTCCTCTAACGACTGAATAGAGCTAGTTTAGACATTTAATTAGACACCAATTTAGGGTTCAGAAATTCAAATCGTAGCACGTACGTAATCACCACCCTTGTCTAGATCTGACAGTGTATGTGGTATACACGTGTTGCGTGTAAGATTTGGAGTTTGTTTGGAGGTGGTCAGCTGAAGACGGAATGTTTGGAGACTTTATGCCTAGTATTTAACTTTATTAGTATAGCGTAGTATTTATTGTGAACATTTCATTAAAGTGACAATTTCTCGATTCAGTAACATTACTTTTTATCATATACTGATTAATTCAAATACAACATGCTATTTACGAAAATTATAAATAATAATAAAATGGAATATGATAATGGATTATAATTTTTATTTTACTGTGTTGGTAAAATAATGACGTTTCGAACAACTACAGTGTACATGAACATGCTGATACAATTAAAGTGTTTTTAAAAAAACATTTCATCAGCATTTCTGACGGACACCATATGCATGACACACTTTTAAACGGAAACATTAAATCCTCACACGTGCATGTATGCGCATATTTTCTCACCACGAACCCAGTGTTCGTGCTACCTAATCCCCTGTTATTGTCATGCTAAACATTTCACTGTTATGTGGAGTTTTGATGTGCATGGCTGCCGTTAGCTGTTATAAATTTTAATGTTATAGATTTTTTAATACGTACTTATCTCAGCACACAATAGCGCTGACGTGGACGTGATGTGTGCCCAAACACAGGCACTTGACTTTATCTAATACTACTAATAATCCATAATATACCAATTTGTGAGAAAAGTAAATTCGTGAAAAAAGTATTCAACCCGCAAGCAGGGAAATATAATAAAGATGAAGTTGTGATTTATGTTTTTCTCGTGGCTGTTCAAACATAAAATTAGATAGATACAAGCGGTTGTGTTTAAAATTAAACGTGTTATATGTATTAGGGATGACCATTGACTGCTACATATCGTAGGTATATATAGGACCAATACAGGTACTATACCACAACAATGTCCTGGGCTGTAGGGGTCCCGAGGGTATGACCTGAAACGTGGGTATAGGACCAATATAGGTACTATAACACAACAATGTCCTGGGGTGTAGGGGTCCCGAGGGTATGACCTGAAACGTGGGTATAGGACCAATATAGGTACTATACCACAACAATGTCCTGGGCTGTAGGCGTCCCGAGGGTATGACCTGAAACATAGGTATAGGACAAATATAGGTACTATACCACAACAATTTCCTGGGCTGTAGGGGTCCCGAGGGTATGACCTGAAACGTAAGTATAGGACCAATACAGGTACTATACCACAACAATTTCCTGGGCTGTAGGGGTCCCGAGGGTATGACCTGAAACGTGGGTATAGGACCAATATAGGTACTATAACACAACAATGTCCTGGGCTGTAGGGGTCCCGAGGGTATGACCTGAAACGTGGGTATAGGACCAATATAGGTACTATACCACAACAATGTCCTGGGCTGTAGGGGTCCCGAGGGTATGACCTGAAACGTAGGTATAGGACCAATATAGGTACTATACCACAACAATGTCCTGGGCTGTAGGGGTCCCGAGGGTATGACCTGAAACGTAGGTATAGGACCAATATAGGTACTATACCACAACAATGTCCTGGGCTGTAGGGGTCCCGAGGGTATGACCTGAAACGTAGGTATAGGACCAATACAGGTACTAAACCACAACAATGTCCTGGGCTGTTGGGGTCCCGAGGGTATGACCTGAAACATAGGTATAGGACCAATATAGGTACTATACCACAACAATTTCCTGGGCTGTAGGGGTCCCGAGGGTATGACCTGAAACATAGGTATAGGACCAATATAGGTACTATACCACAACAATGTCCTGGGCTGTAGGGGTCCCGAGGGTATGACCTGAAACATAGGTATAGGACCAATATAGGTACTATACCACAACAATGTCCTGGGCTGTAGGGGTCCCGAGGGTATGACCTGAAACATAGGTATAGGACCAATATAGGTACTATACCACAACAATGTCCTGGGCTGTAGGGGTCCCGAGGGTATGACCTGAAACATAGGTATAGGACCAATATAGGTACTATACCACAACAATGTCCTGGGCTGTAGGGGTCCCGAGGGTATGACCTGAAACGTGGGTATAGGACCAATATAGGTACTATACCACAACAATTTCCTGGGCTGTAGGGGTCCCGAGGGTATGACCTGAAACGTAGGTATAGGACCAATATTTCTCTTACCCTGGACAGGGATATCCACCATTTTACCGGTGTGAGATTTTCTTATCTCACCCTAGGGTTGAGACAAGCTACACGTGTTCTGCACGTTCTCAACAAGTGTATGACGTCATAGTAACAATACCATGACGTCACGGCAACAATACAATGACGTCATGGCAACAATACAATGACGTCACGTCGAAAATTCAGCCGCATCACATCAACATTGTCTTGCATTGATGTAAAGTCTATACAAAATACTCTGCAAAATACATAAGAACGTAAACACTGGATAAGAGAAAAATAATCATTCACCTCCTTGGGAGTGAGACAGTGTGATCTCAACCCTCGGGGTAAGACTCTTAAGCTGTGTTATATGTAATAGGGATGACCATTGACTGCTACATATCATAGGTATAGGACCAATACAGGTACTATAACACAGCAAAGTCCTGGGCTGTAGGGGTCCCGAGGGTATGACCTGAAACGTAGGTATAGGACCAATATAGGTACTATACCACAACAATGGGCTGGGCTGTAGGGGTCCCGAGGGTTTGACCTGAAACATAGGTATAGGACAAATATAGGTACTATACCACAACAATGGGCTGGGCTGTAGGGGTCCCGAGGGTTTGACCTGAAACATAGGTATAGGACAAATATAGGTACTATACCACAACAATGGGCTGGGCTGTAGGGGTCCCGAGGGAATGACCTGAAACATAGACCAATACAGGAACTATAACACAGCAAAGTCCTGGGCTGTAGGGGTCCCGAGGGTATGTCCTGAAACGTAGGTATAGGACCAATATAGGTACTATTCCACAACAATTTCCTGGGCTGTAGCTTTCCCGAGGGTATGACATGAAACATAGGTATAGGACCAATATTGGTACTATACTACAACAATTTCCTGGGCTGTAGGGGCCCCGAGGGTATGACCTGAAACATAGATTCAGCCGCATCACATCAACATTGTCTTGCATTGATGTAACGTCTATATAAAATATATAAGAGGGTAAACAGGGTAAGAGAAAAATAATCATTCACCCCCTTGGGAGCGATACAGTGTGTACTCACCCCTCGGGGGAAGATTTTTAATCTGTCAAACACTCGGCAAGCCTCGTGTTTGAGAACTGAAGAATCTTACCCCTCGGGTTGAGATTACCATGTCTCACCCCCAAGGGGGTGAAAGATTCTATTAAGATACTATACCACAACAATGTCGTAGGGGTCCCGAGGGTTTGACCTGAAACATAGGTATAGGACAAATATAGGTACTATACCACAACAATGGGCTGGGCTGTAGGGGTCCCGAGGGTTTGACCTGAAACATAGGTATAGGACAAATATAGGTACT